TAATTTGTGGTAGTAGCAGTAGTAGTAGTAATGCTATTATGATTTTCATTATCATTATTATTACAATAATCATTATCACCCTTATCATTATTATTGATATTATTATAGGAACAGTAATATAGATTATTATTATCTTTATTATTGTTTTCATTATTATAAAGTGTTGTTAGTCCTGGTTTTATCATTATTACTATTTTTCTCATTATTAGTATTACAATTATATGATTATTTTTATTAACACTTGTTATTTTTTGTGTTAAAGATTTTACCTCTTAAAATTCAATTTATCTTGCTGCATATAGTTTATTTTCAGTGCAACGTCTGTAAAGCTGTCATAATTGTTTCGGTTTGAATGACGTTGCAAATGGTACGCCCTCCCCTTTACATTTAATGGTTTATAACTTGGTCTGTTCAGCCAGACATTATCTGTCATGATATTTTCCGATCTATCAGTTCCATTAAAATGAAAACAATTGCAAATAGTGTTGATTTTACTTCAACATACTAACGAGAAGCTGAATTTCTTTGCTGCGGATGCAAGATTCCCGACCATCCTAATGCACTCAAATGCATTATACTCGTACGCTTTGCTGGAATTTCTACCTTCCCTGAGTACGTGATGTTGCTCTCCCTCCCGGACAGCAACCACAGAGAAAAACTGTTGATATCCGTCCCAATATTGGTTCACAGTGTAGAACTGTTCTTTCACTATTTTCGAAAACGCTTGTGTGCTCAAATGACTGAAATCACAGGGTGCCCGACCCCCGGGAACGCAAAGGTACACTTTGTCAAGACTACCCCACGCCTCACCTCTCTCCCCTCCGTATATGCCAAAAATCACTCATTAGTAGTTTCCCTATGTACATGCCATTTTAACGAATCTTCTATTTCTTCGACTGAACGAGAGCCAAGAGAAAGTCATTTAACAGTATCTGGCAACTTTTCACCGACAAACCGATCCACTCACCCGAAACTTTCATGGAGACTTGCCACTGTAATACTTTATCCCTAGGACGTAAGTGTGTTTTTCGACTGCAACGACCACGGCATTTCTTTGGAGAAAACATTCGATTGTGACTCACTGGAGTTGCGACACTAAATAAGCTAAAGCAAAATTGTACTGTGCTTTGTCAGACTAAATAAATATCTACATTTGCAACCACTATTTTGGTGCTGCACACGAGATTTTTTACAATGGTTCGGCCTCGTTGTAAGTAAATGTTCCTTGCAGAAAAGGTTCATACTGCTTAAGGAATCTCCCACGGCCAAGAGCAGAATCAACACCCTACCGACGCATCAGCTATCTAACGTGTAAATATAACAAGACACATTCTTAGATTATTTACTGAGGACTTTTTAGTAAAATCTCTTAGATACTTATATTTTTAGTTGTGTATTTCCATGCACATAAGTATTAAAAATAGGTATGTAATATCGTGAACAGCAGTTCGTTCCTCTACCCAGTCGGGGGAGATTAAGGTCGCGAGGCAGCCGTAGGGAGGGATGCGGTACCTTCGTAGATGTCGTAGAAATTTTTCGTTCTTTTTCTCTCTTTCTCAGTCTGTTTGTTTGTCTGTCTGTCTGTTTGCATGTCTATCTGTCTGTCTGTCTGTCTATATATTTATATATATATATATATATATATATATATATATTTATATATTTATATATATGTATGTATGTATATATGTATATATATATATATATATATATATATATATATATACATATATATATATAAATATATATATATATATATATATATATATATATATATATATATATATATATTATATATATATATATATATATATATATATATATATATATAAATATATATATATATATATATATATGTATATATATATATATATAAGGGGGAGACTGTATATCTATATATGTGCTTGTGTTTGTGTGTTTACATCTCTATCTATCTATCTATCTGTCAATCTACTTTTCTATGTATCTAGTATATGCATATCTATAAATATATATATATATATATATATATATATATATATATATATATATATATATATATATATATATATACATACATACACACACAAACACACCCAACTTCAATGCACTCTTAATGGTACGTGTACTACGTGACCAAACACTTCTTCTCGCATTGTGACTAGGAGCAAATGACCGAAATACACACACACACACACACACACACACACACACACACACACATATATATATATATATATATATATATATATATACATACATATATATATACACACACATATATATACATATACATTTATATATATATATATATATATATATATATATATATATATATATATATATATATTTATTTATGTATATATAGAATTTTGAAAATTCTCTCCTTGTATCCATTTTTGGCATTTCATTCGTCTGAAGAGGAATTCGTGAAAGTTCGAAACGTTACATTTCAATTTCATTTCTTACTGTGGCAGTTTTCCTTTCATATATATATATATATATATATATATATATATAT